TGGCTGGGGAATTCTGGGAGTTGAAGTCCACTCATCTTAAAGTGGCCAAGTTTGGACAACACTGAACTAAAGTGAAGAAATCAGCAAATGGCTATGCCTTTTCAGTATCTCTTAAAACACACTTGGAGGATAAGATTTGGATCCATAGTAGCCCCTTCTGAGAATATAAAACAGGGATCAGCAACGTGTTCACCCTTTGGGGCTACAGGAAGTAGGAGTGAGCCACACTGAAATGCACATAGATACATAGGTATGCATGTGTACACATTTATAGACACCATTACTAAGTGAGTCCTCCTTGTATGTCCTGTTTCCCTGAAGATTTTCAGCAGCACAGTGCAGTTAGGTAGGGCAAAGGGCAGAAGGCACTCATATTTGGCCACACAGAAGTCTTGACGTACCATGGAAATAAAAGTCACTAGTAGAGTACTTCCAAGGGGTAGAGATATAGCATCAATCACAAAGTTGCAGCTTCTCCCTCCCAATGGCTGGCAATTTTCCTTTTAATTTACATGGCAGAAGTTGAAACCTATATCAATTTTTAAAATTGAAATTAAGTCCTCTCAAAAGAAAGATTCAGGCACACTTGCCTGTGTCTTCCCTGTCAATTTTAGTAGGAATAGCCTACTCTGGGCAAAAGTGCTTCACTTGGAGACCATTCAAATGCCCCAAAATCTTTATTTAAAGTGGATGCATGTTCCTACCCAATATCAAAAATCCCCAATATAAGTGTTTTCTTTAAACAGTGAAAAAGAGTTTGCACTGCAAATCTGCTCTGGAATTCATTTGATGTCACTAGTTCACCAAAGAAAAATGGCATGCTCAATTTGATCTGAAAGATTCTCTGAAAGAGTAATATTTACATATGTGAAACAAATTCAAACATAGCAACACTGCTCTTTTAAAAGCTTTCTGCCTTTCTAGATGCTTTTGGTTGCTATCTTCTCTGAAACTGGATTTTTTGATTATTGTGCAGTAAAGGTGAGTTTGTTTTTAATGGTAAGTATATCCTATTTAGCATCGGAGTTTAAAAATATTTTGGTATGTATATTACAGTGAAAAGTGTGTTTGTATCTTTCTCAGGTTAATTGCTTCAGTTCTGCTCTTGAATAATGCTGACTGCCTTTACAGAAATGCTACCTTTCTCTTGTAAAGATCTTAACCAATTTGATGAAATTTAGAGATGCTATTTTAGAAGACTTGGCAAAGATTCAGGACAGATTCTTAATCTCTCTTGCAATTAATAGCACTTACATGCCACTTACTTCAATGAGACTGAGAGTGTAGTTTCACCTATCAGGTGATACCAAATACTGGATATCTACCACAATATATCTCTGGGTTAACCATCTGTTGAACTCCAGATAATTTGGACTAAAACTCCCTTAAACCTCCACGTTAGCATAACTAAAGGCAGGGGATTGTAAAAATTGTACTCCAAAATAATTGGATAGCATTGAGTGGCCACCTCTGAGAATATCCAACAGCATGTAGCAAATGTGAATTTCTTAGAGGATTTCCACATCACCATTTTATAATGTTATTGATATGGATAGGCTTTATATCCCATCAGTGATACCCGTGTGAGGTTATAAACTGCTAGTGTGTATGTCTTAATGCATGCATCTACAGTATATGTAATTGACAACATTTTGTGAATACCAAATGTAATGTTAGGTGTGCTAATTTCCCCTAATTGCCCCTTAGGCAGTTTGCCTAGATTTTATGGTAATATTTTCCAAATAGATATGTATTAGTTTTATGATGCTGTGTTGCACAGAAAAGCTAGATATACTAAGGGCTTATGACCAGCTATAATAGCACATCGGCTGTAGCACTGAGAGAACAAACAATGATTTCACTTACACTTTTTCTAGAAATCATTGCAGCCATTAAAATAACTGACTTTTTTACACTAACATTGCTGACCTGCTTTAATAGCTCATCGGGTTACAATTTTCAAGTAAAATAAGAACAATCTCATGGATTTCCTCATGGTTTTTGAGTGCGTATGATTTTTATTTATTTATAAAGTTTATATAGCCGCCCATCTCACCAGTAAGCGACTCTGGGTGGCATACAACAGGGCTAAAACAATCAACAAATACATCAAAAGGTATAAAAACCAAACTAAAACAAAAAGTAATAGACGAAGAGATGTTAAAAATAATGGAACCACCTCACTAGCTCATCCATACCTTGAATGTGGGGTTTGTTCCCTGTTTATATGCAGTATCATATCCTGTATATGATACTGTATATAAACTGTTTATATACAGCTCAGCCGTACCTTGAGTGTGGGGTTTGCTTGAGCAAGCTATTGTATATAAACAGAGAACAAACATCACCCCCACTCACACTGATGATGTTACCTAGTTGGGTAATGAAACCTCTGCAAGCAAACGATGAAGCTCAGAGAACATCAAGGACTCCACAGTAAAACGCCCAGCTGCATATGTTCTCTTCTATTGTGGTGTATCTGAAATAAGTCTGCTTCAAACCATGGTTATGAAAGTAGCTAGTTTTAGTTATGATTATGATTAATATTACTTCAGGATTTGGGTATCACTGAAAACTTCTTGTTAGTTGAAAGCAGAAGCCAAATTGCCCGTTAAATGCAAAGAAAATAGGGGGAAGTACATTAGCCCAAAGCCTGTATGCTCACTGACAAATGATTTTTTTTTCTATTACATCTGAATTAGGCTACTGTGAATAATTTTGAAGTGCACTTGTATCTAAACTCTGATAATAGTTACTTTTCACCCGAAAGGTCATATGATGGAAACAATAAACCAGTCCTGAATTATCTGGCGTAACCAAGGGACTATGGGAGACGTTGATTCCCATGCAACATTACAACTTCCCACAGGCCCCAATTTCTGAAAAAGAGCAATAAATAAATGGAGAAATGTGCCAAGGACATTGTTATTCTAAGTTTCATATTCAATATAGAAGTTGTTCCTGAGATTAGAGGCAGGCTGGGTATAGCATGTATAGTAATAGGAATGTATGTGCCTAGAACTTCAAATCTTCTCTTGAGAAGTTTGCTAAGTGAATAAATCAACAGAACCCCTAATGCAGTGTTGTCCAAACTTGGCCACTTTAAGATGAGTGGACTTCAACTCCCAGAATTCCCCAG